AAAAGCAAGCAAACCACCCTTTACGCTACATATACATACCTAGACGCATAGAGAAACACTGTACTTCAAGAGAAACAGATCTTTGTTTTCTTTATTGTCTAATTTAGTAGCGAACATAAGGACAAAATGAAGAACTACTTCATTGAAACATCTTGCCATATATTCCTCTGTTTCCTACCATTATACTGAGCATAAAAGCTCTTGCAATAAAAACTCTGAGGACCACTACATTACTTATTGCAGAACTTCCCAATACAAAGGAGGCTATGGGTCACTATACTTCCATGCCTCAAGAGAGAAGATTACTAGCCCAACTGCAGTCTTTATTAATAAGGAGTAATAGAAAAGAAATAGCAGCTTCCAAGATAAGCTAAAACCTCAGTTGCAGTTATTACTCAAGAACTTAACTCACTTCCTGGTTTTCTCACCTCAAGATAACATTTGTTTTAACACAGTCTTCCTCTGACAAATCAGCCCTATAAGAGAAGATAGCACTGAATAGTACCTACTGAAATCCTTAGTCCTCTATTTACCTTAAAATTCAATAAGCTTCTCTTTGCTTCCATGCATCAACCTTCTACCACAGAAAAGACTCATAAAAATAACCACATCCAGTGGTAACCCTCCCACCGGGTAGATAGAAAAAGCAATCTTACTCCAGCCATTTCCCCATACACTCTGAGTAACAGACCTGAGTTAAAGAGAAAGTTGCAGAAGGTGGCTAAAACAGTAACTGAGAATTTAATTTAATCCACCCACCCATACAAGCTACTCACCCTTAACAGAGGGGAATAAATGCCTGCAACTTCTTTAAACCTTTGGCCACAGAGACACCCTTTATAATGGGAAGACATTAACATCATTTCAAAGCTACGCTTATATATACAAAGAAACTCAGCCATCCCACTCTCATAATGTCACGATCCGTGACCTATTATATCTCCTTATTGGAGTGTATTAACTTATCAGGATTTGCTGAGAGATCCACACGTGGGTATCGCCTCACACAGAGGATACAGGAACTTATGTCCTGACTTTTTTGAGTGAATAACTTGCTCAGTGCTTACTAAATTTCTAACAACAGCAAGGTTTATTGTGGGGAAAACGAAGCAATTTGGGGCAGGAGGTTCAAAAGGAGTGATTACAACACATTAAACATATATGGGTACACCTTAGTTACACATCTTATTCACGTGAGGGAAGCAGAGGGGAGGGATTTGCCCGAATGGCTGGATTATATTTTCCCCTATAAGCTGGGGTAGCCGGAATTGTCTCACCACGGCAGTGCAGGTTCGATGAGCTGGGTAGCAAAGAGGCTGCAGGCACTCCAAGCGCAGGTCGCCCCCCCCCACCACAAAGCGGCGGCAGTCGGTGCGCGGCTCCGGGACCGTAGGTGTGCAGAGCGGCTCCGGGACCTGGGGACCGGGGCTTTGGCAGCTGCAGCTGCGGCGAATGGCTCCGGGACTCTGGGACTGCGGCTTTAGCAGCGGCGGCTGCGGCGA